TTCTCCTTCCTTTGAATTGGTTAGCATTTCATGTTTAAAGTGATGGTTTTAGATTATTTTGGAGGTATCTCGTGTAATCCCTTGAAACTGAATCATTATACAGCTAGTCCCGAGGCTGAGGCTGAGCTATGTATGGCGGTCTTACGTGTGACGTCAGCGCAGTATTACTGATATTATATTGAACAGCACCACCTTGAGGCTGAAAAAAATGGAATTTTTTTTTTTCTAAAGAGTGAAATGTTTTTCCAAGAGGAAGTATATTTTCGAGAAGAAGAATGAATAACGAGTATGGAGTGCCATACATATATTTTTTTAAAGAGGAAAATGTATTTTCTCTTTCATATCAATGCGGTTCTAAGGGTGAATATATTTTGTATTTCAAAAGAGGAACATCTTTTTTTGTAAGTGAAATTAATATTTTTAAACAGTGAAATTAATATTTTTAAAGAGAGAAATAAACATTTTTAAAGAGTGAAATGATCATTTCAACTAGTGGAATGAATATTTTCAAAGAGAGAAACGATTTTTACTTTTTTTCAAAGAGTTAAATGAAATTTATTTTTAAAGTAAAATGTCAAAAAAGTGTAGAGGAATTTATTTCAAAGAGAGAAATATATTTGTTATTGTTGTTGAATAATTATATTGGTTTTCCTAAATGCGTGCCATTCATGTATATGCCGAGCGTCAATAAAGGAAAAGTTGTGGGATAAAGTAATGTACTAATATGTATTTATTTTTATTTCCAAAAGAGTTATTATGCACAATTTCTTTCTTCCTCTGGATAGTTTTACTTTTGAAAGTATGGTGTTTGATATATGATTATATCAGGAATGGATGCGGGGGAAAGGAGTCCTTTTCCATCTTTTAAAAAAGTCTGAGGTTTTAATCTCCGAAACCTAATTATAATCGAAGAACTTGATGAATAAATTAGGAATACGCATACAGGCTCTTTTGAGGATGATCGTAGACAAATTTGGAGTTATTAAGGCCCAAGAATGCTACACAGTGTGAATTGCAGGAATCATTATTTTTTCCAAGACATACAAATAATACCTCCTGGCTGCCTTTGAGAGCGAGCCCCCCACCCCTCAACAATTTGAAAGAAAAAAAAGTGAGATTCGAAACTACTCAGGTACATTTAGAATGAAGAAACTATCTGCACATCTGAATTTTTAGAGGGCATTGCTTATTGTGGAGATGAATGTTGGAGAAATATTTCAGAATTGAATCGCCTGGCTCGTGACAGGTCCCTATAAATCTCCCGACAAGTTCGAGGGCATGAAGGGTAAAACCGTTATCAAATTAATTTCAGCAAACCTGGTGTCAGTCCCTCACCCCCTCCCCCCTTCCCTCTCTCTATTTCTCTTTCTCTCTCCCTCTCTCTGTCTCTCTGACGACGATTGTGCAAACACTTGTTTTAAAATATACAAAAGAGTTTTGGGTAGGTGAACTCGTGGGAAATGTTGAATGGAGTGCGCGCGCACATAGTGGTAGTGAATATTGCCACGTTACAAAATTCATACATATACCAGGAGATGTACGAGCTTCTGTATACAGCTAGTCTAGTTCTAGACCCTATTGATTTTTGTTATTCGCCGACTAAAAGCGTTAAGCCGAGTGATGACGCGATTCTTAGTGACTGCGCGATCCCCGAGAACCGTCGTAATAGATTTTCGGGGATCGCGCAGTCACTAAGGATCTCGCCATCACTCGGCTTAACTCTTATTGTCGGCGAATAACAAAAATCAATAAGGTCCAGAACTAGACTAGTATACAGCCAGCTGACTATTTTTTTTTCCTTTAAAGGGATAGTTGTGTTTGGTGGCAGAGGGCGCTACACAAAAAGAAATTGTGAGATAATCAAATTTGAAAGAATATAAATTTTAAATGAAAAAAAAATCATAATTTGTCTTTGGATCAAAATCGGTTCAGAAACGGCTGATATATCCATAAATATAACCATTTATAATATTCGTGGTGCCTCACATATATTTAGTAATTTTGAACCAGTCGTTCAAAAACGAGACAGCGCCTGATACGTTCTATTCCAGTCAATGCCAATATTGGCTTTTTGTTGGCCTTTTCGTGTTGGTTATAATACGCACAACTTGCCGGCCCGTGTATTACTATAATTAATTATTTAATTAATTTACGGTCACCGTATTTAAATTGGTATGATCGTATTTAATCTAAATTCACACATGTTTGGGTCTAACATTACCATCATAGCAATTTTACGTTCTTAAAGGGCAAAAGAAATGACATAAATAAGAACAAGAGCAATAACCATGCACTTTGAAAGGCCTTACGGCCTTAAACAAGAACACAACTATCCCTTTAAACATGTTGTTAAGCGCGTGCCTACCTCAAACTTGAAATATACAATCATTTTGTTTTGTTATGTACAACCACCATAATATTCCTCAACGTAAATCATTTCTATTTGATGCATACACTAGGGAAATTGTGGGTATGAATATATCATTGGATGCTACGCATATATATCAGCCAGATAACATGAATAGCGGCTACTCTATTCCTTAACTTTCATTGTATCTTTAAGAAATGTTATATATCTGTTGCTAGTATCACATGTTAGTTAATTTGTTAGTTTTTGTCCGTTTTTCGACATCCGTAAACTTGTTAAATGTTAAACTTCTTCTCAAAAAGGAATGATCGGATGTTAATCAAACTTGGTGTGAATCATCCTTAGGCAAGGGAGATCTTAAATTGTTTAAATGGGGTACAAACCTCACGCGGGGCTGGGGGAAGCACCACCATAGTTCTTCAGTGGCAGTAATTGCACTTTTTATTTTCCTTTTTGAATACTCATGACTAGATTCTAACTAAAATTTGTAGGAATCACATGCAGGAAAAGTATCGCTATGTAATGGTAGTACTAGTCTACACCCCCTCAGTAATAGTATAGTATGACTGCTTTGAGAGAAATAGTTGTTTTTATACGCTCAAGGGAAGGTTAAAATTGTGCTATTGTCCGAGGCGTGCCGAGGGCAATAACCCAATTGTAACTTTCCCGAGATAGTTTAAAAACAAATATTTCTCGAATATTAAAGCAGTCATTAATACTTTTATATGCCGAAAAGAAAAGAGTCAACTTATGACACCACCTTGGCCTTTATCTAGTTTATCTGCACGGTTGTTTTTTATGAGTGTATCTTTGAGAGTAGACTAAAAAATAAAAAATAAAAAATAAAAAAACTTTTGTCTAAGATGGGATTCGACCTCTTGTTTACCAACAATGATATAACTGAAATCACCGCCTTAGACCGTTCGGCCATCGCGCACTGATACCATACCTTGCAGTTTTCTCTGATATATACATTAAAATGGATTGAAAACGACTTCGCGTGCTGGATGCTTCTTTTACTTTTGCAATGCATTGGCACGAACTTAGATCAAGATCTATCGGCAGATGTTGTTTTTGGAAGTTTATTTTCGTCTTCATGTCAACAATGCAAGATATAATTGTCCGTAAGATCGATCGAGATTCGATTGTATTGAAATTACTGACCAATTCATCGCACACGTACGGTATCCGCAATCGCTCAAACCATTTTTTAAACACGTAAACCTATTGGTATTTCACCAAGACTGAACCATTTTCCCGGCAACCATGGTTACTGGGATTTTAGAAATATTTTTTAGAACTATTACATGGGTTTTGAATTTTACCGGGAATTTTACAGGAATAGTTAAAGTTTATGAATGCAATTTCGACCAATCAGATGACTGGATTCCTTAAGTGACGTATATAATTCATGATATCACTCAGTATGCCCTAAAGAGAAGAATAGAAATAGCTCGGAATACATTTCTGGCAATGAAAATACTTTATATTCACAGATAGAAAGGTGAAATTTGTGCTTACGTTAAGACTAGTAAACTGTAATGTATGGTCTGTCCTATTGTATGGGGCAGAAACATGGACAATAGGCACGACCATGGAAAATAGAATAACATCTTTTGAAATGTGGATTTACAGCAGAATGATGAAAATATCCTTGAAAACAAATGAAAACCAACAAAGATATATTATATTGCACATGGCAGGCCAGGATGTGTTGGAGGGAAAAGTGGAAGGAACTAGACCGAGAAGGAGACCCAGAATCAACTGGGAAGATAATGTCAAGAACTGGAGTGGACTAAAACTGCAAGAGTGCACAAGAATGGCAGAAGATAGAGTGAAATGGAGAGATGTTGCAATCAACCTCCGAACCGGGAGAAGATACTAAGATAGATAGATTATGTGTATAGCAAAAACAAGTAATAAATTATACTCCCAAATTTACATAAAATTTTATCTCATCTTGTTTTATAAAGGAAAATGCATGACCCCAAAAACCAAAAACCAAGAACCATATGTTGTGGTTTGCTTTTTCAGATTTGATATTGTGGTCATGATAGATATTAATCTCATCGACCTGTAATTTCCATTTTCGGTTTAACTTAATCAAATTTGGAGTTGACTTTGAAAGATTATTATTATTATTATTAATTGTTCCTCAGAGAAGTTACAGGCTTGGCAATAGCGATCAAAGTGATCTGGCAGGCAGTCCAAAAACCAAAAACCAAGAACCATATAGTGTGGTTTGCTTTTTCAGATATGATATTGTGGTCATGATAGATATTAATCTCATCGACCTGTAATTTCCATTTTCGGTTTAACTTAATCAAATTTGGAGTTGACTTTGAAAGATTATTATTATTATTATTAATTGTTCCTCAGAGAAGTTACGGGCTTGGCAATAGCGATCAAAGTGATCTGGCAGGCAGTCCAAAAACCAAAAACCAAGAACCATATGGTGTGGTTTGCTTTTTCAGACTTAATATTGTGGTCATGATAGATATTAATCTCATCGGCCTGTAAGTTACGGGCTTGGCAATAGCGATCAAAGTGATCTGGCAGGCAGTCCAATCATCTCAATAAATACAGAGAACTCGGTTGGTGTAGAATCACTTTTAGGCGGTATCTCGCCAACTATAGCTGTAACGTCGTTTAATACGTCGAGACAGATGCCTCTATCCTGTCGTGCCTTAGAAGAAAGAATCAGTTACCAAGATTTTTCCAAAGTGTATGGTAAGCAAACTTTAACATCCATTAAATGTTCAGTGTAATATAAATCCTGTAGATTCGACTGTAAGCTGGCCAAAGTCAGAAAATAGAGGTTTGCCTGCCACTACCACACAAACTAAGCACACCTTGTTTATTCGAAAGATTTTACAATGATACACAACATTTCAGAGGTGTTTTCTTTTATTGTAGCGAACACCCCTGAATCGTAGGGAGCGTCCTAAAAAGCTGCCCTTTTGATTAAAAACTGTTTTATAAAGAATATTTTAAAGAAGCTGGCGAAGAAATTGCACGTTACCACTAAAAATGGGCAAATTATACATGTCCGGATAGCGTAGACCAATTTGAACACACACATTCTGCTCTAAAGTCTTGTAAATATAAATGAAATGCGCTAAGAAGCTTTTTACAAGAACCTTCTCAAACTTCTATTCCTGGCTTGAACAGTTTGTTCGCGCAGTAGGCCGATTATGACGTCACTGCTTGGGCACGATCGCAATTCTAGGCCTCAAGCTCGCCTCTCGCACAGCTCGCGTGCGGTATTTTGCATAGGCTTATACGTATACAATATCCAGACTTTGCATGCTTCATATCCTGACCAGAAAGTGGAATAAAAATCTCTAAAAATCATGTAATTACATATAATATTAAGCAAATGTATGTTATATAATACGAGGGGTGACTCGTGCAGTTCGATTTGTCCAAATACCCTTTCGTTCTGTGTATTTTCCTAAGATCCCTTTGCATTTTTATGTCCTGCATCTGCAGTTCTATTTATGAATGGTGCATATTTGTAATTGATTTTCGCCAAATATAATCTCACATCTAATCGTCTTTGTTTTTTTATCCGTGAAATTTGCTAAAAAGCCCTACACATCCCGAAAAATTAGAAAATGTCTCGCCTAGTTACCCCAGTGACAAGGTGCATGACAGTTCGATCGCCAGTTGAGCGGGACCGGGGGAGCTGAGCGGCGGCTAGCTGGCAGCTCAGCCAGCTCGCGCTGATAAACTATCACTTGACCTGCACCAGCATCGACACAATCTTCTCCGAATTGTTCTCTTTTTTCCATCCCTTCTACACCCCCATCATCATCGTCGTCATTATCACTACCAGTACCACTGTCACTAGTTGTGGAGCTGTGCTTATCAACTTCGAATTCTAAATCGAGTAAAACCTCTTTTTCGAGCTCGGACATTTTGATCAGATATTTAGCGTTCGAGTGGCATTTGTATACGTATAATACATGCAGGCGAGAGTTGTGTGAGAGCACTCTCGCGCTCATGTGCCCAACCTCATACGTCACAAATCGTACGTCACAATAGCGGGCCGATCAAGGGCGAAATAATCGGGTAGTAATTTCACCACTTTTAATAGCAGATAAGTTAATTCTGTAACAATTTTTGATAACTAAATATGAACCATCAGAAAGATTGTAACATTAACTTTGCAATGATACCAACATTATTAAGGTTAAAAGCCTTTTGAAACCTTCGCTCAGCTACTTTAAGGAAACTTTGAACCACCCTGGGGTTGGTGTCATATCAAGGAATATTTAATTATCTTAATTTTCATTGAATTGGGATCAATTAAAATCTTAAAAATTGTAAGTAAAAACATGATAATTTGTTTTTCCTCGGAATATTGAATGTTATCAAAAACTGTTATTTTTTTCCATAATTATATCAAAATCGGAGACATGCATTATTTCCAAACCTTCTAGAAATTTACCCATGTACAGGGAAAATATCATGTGCTAAAGCGAGGCTTATATCTATTTTCAACAAAGAGTTATAGCAACCAAAAGTTACTGATTTGATTTCCACAAAAACTAAATTTTTGCCCATATGTGTATTAACTGTATGAATATAGTTTACGTGTATTATTGTATTAATGACGTGTTGGTGTGTTTACATCGAGTTTTGAAGATAACTTTGAAGTAAAACCTCTAATCATCATGTATTTGGTGCCAAGAGATGAATAATTAAACTACCTCCAAGTTGATATCAACTTCATTAAGTTATTTAATGTGTGACATATAAATTGTGATCCGAAAAGGTGCTTTTCCGACATATTTTTCACTCACTAAACTTGAAGGTATTTGAATTATCCATCTTTTGACACCACCTCCATGGTGATTAGAGGTTTTACTTTAAAATTATCTTTACAACTCGATGTAAACACACCAAACACGTCCTCAATACACTAGGACACGTATATGCATACAGTTTATAATACACATGTGGGCAAAAATGTCGAATTTGTGGAAACAATTAAATAATTTTGGGTTGCTATAACTTTTCATTGAAATAGATTATAAGCCTCTCCTTCGCACAGGATATTGTCCTTGTTCATGGGTAAAATTTCTAGAAAGTTTCGAAAAAATGCATGTCTCCGATTTTGATATATGAAAAAAAATAACAGTTTTTAATAACATTCAATATCTCGAAAAAATATCACTAAAAAAAAATCATGTTTTTTACTTAAATGTTTGATGTTAATTAATCCCAATTCCATTGGAATTGATATCAAAATAGAGATAATTCAATTTTCTATTATTTAACACCAAACTTATGCTGGTTCAAGGTTTCCCTAAAATATTCTTTATAAAATAGTATTTTTCGTCAAAAAAGCCACTTTTTGGGACGCCCCCTCCGATTTAGGGAAGTTCGCTCCAATATAAAAAATACACCTCTAAAATAGTGTGTATTATGATAAAATCTTTCGAGTAAACAAGTTGTGCTTAGTTAGTGTGGTAGTGGCAGACAAATAAAAACTTAGCATGATATTTGACTTTGGCCCTCCGCTTAAACGTAGTATTATATTGAACATTTCCTAATGGTACAGAATAACCCTACTCTGTATAGAGTCACATGTTGTACGCATAAGTCTATGTATTTTAGTTTTATTGTAATCGATATCTGGTACTCTCTGGTTTTATAGATTTTATAGAGATAATTTGTTTTGTTACGGTGTGTAATGGGAGTCAAATTTTTCCCAAAGAGTTATATTTTCACTAAGCGCACATTGTTGAGGGAAAAATGATAACGAGGGAAAGTATTTCTTCCTTCGGCCGTCCTCCAAAAATGATATATGACACACTTTACCAGTGCGTATATGTTATATTAATCACACGTTGTTATATACAATTAAGGACAATTTCACTACATTTGCTGCTCTCCACCCAGGTGTTGAATTCTTACCGATAGGTCGAAATTATTTGAATGATGTGAGAACCAAAAATAGCTCTTCATTGGATCTGGGGTAATAATGGAGCGCCTTCAGCACCTTAATAGCGTGATATGAGCGTGGTAAAAATACCCAGTATTAAACAAATTATGTGATAAAAAATCCTCATTTTGTAAAATTGCACAATAATTTGTAAATCAGGGTGATTTGATAAACAGCACACTTTTCCCAAAGGCATTTTTTATAATTTAAAGTAATTACTGGACTGGAATTGTTCCCCTTTTTTTCATTTGGTTAGGAAGACCCTATTTTAATGGGTTATACATCATGTTAAAGCGGAACATCTACTAATTCAAGATCAGTTTTATCATTAAAGGTATGATCCATTCTGATATCAAATTAGCAGTATATCAAATCAGCAAAATGAGAATTACAATAGTGAAAAATGTACTGAAGATTTAATTTGAGAGCTTATCTCAGATTTGTGTAACTAACCCCTCCCCCCTCCCCCCCCCCCCAACAAAAAAAATAATAAATAAATAAATAAATAACTAAATAGTTTGTTAACTATTGAAATAATAGAAACATTTGCTGTCGATGCCAGAACGTTATACAACTTGCAGCATTCTAGAAAAGATGTAAATAATCATACCGACACCGCCTCCCTGCGTCTCCCGGAGCGACTGCCAAATCGGTAGAATTCTCTGACCGATGTGCTGTCTTCTTTTAGATTACACAGTTTGTAACCATACAGTTGACTCTGGCGATTTCATCTACCAACATATTCTGAACCAACAGCACCGATCTTTAGGGTTGCGTTTGTATTTAGCTCAAAAAATACCGCATTTTACAGCGATTACCAGACATTTGCCCCTTCTACAATTGCTTGGTTTTATTTCGTCAAATGTACTATATATGTTAAAGCCTAGGGTTACATTTTGGTTATAGGTTAACTTTAAGGTTAGGGTTTAAGGGTTAGTGTAAGTAGAGCCTTGGATTTAGGGTTAAACAGAATGTGCTTAGTGTAAGAGAGTAACGCAGATATGTTGTCATATAGGAGCAAGTGCCGTACAACCTTCCAATCATTCATTTTGAGTAACCCACCTTTAGACGCACAGGCCGCTACTCGTAACACTCTCAGTACATTATTTTCTTGTAGCATTCGAGGACCATCCAGAATGTTTGGCGGAAAACATGTTTTTCTTCTTATCATCTCGACACTGTTAATAATTCAAGATGTCAAACGCTGTTGGGTTACGGCAGATGAGCTTCCGATCCAGCACGGCGTCCTCTTTGTCGGTGTCGGCTATAACATTATAGATGGTAACCCTGAAGGAGGTGACTTACAAACTGGAGGCGTAGATCCAGGTATATTGATCAGTCGACGGATCTTCAAATTCACTTATGACCAAGGGCAAACAACTGCTGACCTGACGAGTCGCATTCCCGACGAGATATCGTTCGTACCGCGAGACAGTGCCTTTTCAGAATCATCACTGTCAACGTTTCATGGTACAAAAAGTTATGCTTCCAAACTCGCCGCTCAAGTTGAAGTAACAGGTGAGTGTTATCTAAACTTGGGAAATCATTACTAACGGAAGGGAAATTTTTACAATTATACAACTTCCAAGCAACAATGGACCTTTGCAGACAGGGAAGTCGCTTGAAGAGGGGGAGGACGTGACACCCCCACACTAAAAAGGAAAAAAAGGGAAAGAGAAAAGGAGAAAATATGAAAAGAGAAACAAAGAAAAGGGAGAAGAAGAAAAGAGAAAGGAAATGGGAAAGGAATGAAAGAAAAGGGGGGAAAGGAAAAAAAGGTTTAGAGAGAAAGATAAGAAGAGAAGAAAAATGGAAGGGAAAGATAAAAAGTAATATGAGTGAGAGATATTAGAGCTAACGAGGAAATACTAAGAACAACGATAACGGCAAAAAAAAAAAACGAGGCCGCCGAAGTAAAAGTATTAAAGAAAAAAAAATCAGAAAATCCTGACCAGAAATGTGTTTTAAATTTCATCCTCTTTCACATTATGATACAATTTAGGCGAAATTTTGCCATCAAAATTGTTGGGACTCCCAACACTTTAAGAGGAGCTTTAACGTTTGCAAAAGTGAAACGATATTGTATAAGGCCTTATGAATCACAAATTGCAAGAACAAATAAAGTATAACACTATTTTTTTTAAAGATTTTGATACGTGATGGATGACATGAATTTTACTGACTTCAGTCTTTAGAAATATCGAATATTGTATTTTTGTTAGGCACGCACAAATAAATGAGTGTAGACAAGTTGCTGCATGTAGACCGGAGGATCACCCTATTTAGCCATATTGATGGGAAATCACTCATCTGTATGAAAGCAGAACAAATAAGAGAGACAGAATGGCGAAAGTACGGAATAAATAGGACTCATAATAAGAGAGTTTAAATGTTTGAAATATAAGATTACTAAATGTCTGTGAATCTGAAATATTAAATTTGGTGAATGAATCGTTTCGTAGACACGGACAACTCTTCCGTTCAACGTGTATCACTAATCATGTATTTCTCGCACGCCCCTGAATCCGCCCCTGCTCCACTACTTCCACTCCTATTGTTCCTCGTACCCTACAACCAACACCACCAATCATGCTAATCTCCTTCGATCTATTTCTTTGCAGGTGGATACGAAGGTGTCATGGCCGAGGTCCAATTCGCTGCAAGTGCCCGTAAGTCGTCTTAATACCACAGTAACGCTAATGCTTAGGTCACATATAAACCGGGCCCTGTACGATTTTGCCTACCCGACGGCTTGCCGTGGATTTAGAGACCGTACGGGAAACTTCCGATTTTCATTTCTACGGCATTTGTGGTCACATATTCTGCGGTGCCCGGGAGGTGCCCGGAGAAAATTGATCGAGTCAAATGCAAGGCGCCCGTAAGGGTGCCGGCAGGGTGCCGGCCGAGTGCCGACCGGTAACCTTACGGGCTCCATCCGATGAGCAGGTGCACCCATGGCTCCCGGAAGGTGCCCTCCCGGGGCCCGGCCGGGGTCCTCAAGGCGCCCGGCCGGGTGACGTGCGGTGCACTGAACTACAGAGTGAGTCAGAAAAAAATGTCCCACTTTTTAAAATTTGTATTGTTTGAAGTATGAATATTTAATCATGGGTTTCATGATATGTCTTGCTAGAGTTATCCTCCCACTACATTTAGGTACCATTTTCATTTGAATTTCTGCATGCATGACTGAATATCAGACAATCTTTACAAGACTGCCAGATCTCACTTGCGCCAAGTTACTTGATGAGGAATAAAACAGTGCATTGAACAAAGACAGTTAGACACACACACACACGCTCACACACGCACACACGCACACACAACACACACATCACTCTCACGGTGACAATTGTTTCATAATTACCCCTTTTCTGATTGAGCATTGATTTTTATCAAGATCGCTTTAGTACACATTCACTACCACCATCATGTCATCATCATCATAATTGTCATCATTTTAATCTTCTTCATCATCATCATCATCATCATTTTCATCATGAAGCAGAACATCCGCCAATACGCACTAGGAGGACAGCGGTCACTCAACTTTTCGTACGATAAGGAGAATTCCCGACAAAAAGTAACAGTTTGGGTGGGCCTTGTCGGGAATGGAATACTCATTTGTGTGCCTGTGCATGTGTGTGTGTGTGTGTGTGTGTGTGTGTGCGTGCGTGTGCATGTGTTTGTGTGTTTTGTCTGTCTGGCTAATTGGATAATTGAAAAAAAACTGGCTGTCTTTGTTCAAAATATTATTTTATTCCTCACCTAGCCACTTGGCGCAAGTGAGATCTGGCAGTCTGGTAATGATTGTCTGATGTTCAATCATGCATGCAGAGATTCAAATGAAAATGGTACCTAAATGTACTGAGAGGATAACTCTATCAAGACATATCATGAAACTCATGATTAAATTTTCATACTTCAAACAATACAACTTTTAAAAAGTGGGACATTTTTTCTGACTCACTCTGTATGTGTCCTCTGGCATCCGCACCTCCTGTAGTTAAAGCTGCGTTGTCCATTTCGAGATGCCGCCGTGAGGGTCCCGCACGGGCAATATTCATTTTAAATGGCCCCCAGATTGCAGACGCCTGTTGTTGTGCATATCACCCGGGGCTATTGAGGGGCCCGTGAGGGAGCCGTAGGATACACGTACGGAACCCTTGAGCACCACAAGGCACCGGTAAAGATTTTCATGAGAATCGACCCCCAAAATCGTGAGGGGCCGGTCCGTGCACCGTCCGGAGCCCGCACGGGACCCGTATGATGCCCTACGGGCCCTTTACGGGCTTTCTACGGCCTAACGGTCAGATGAAAACGCCTGGGGAATTGGGAGCAGCCATTTCAGCACCACGGAGCCCATACGGCTTTAAAAAAAACTGTCCCGGCGCCCGTAGGAACTTCACGGCAACCGGCCGGACACCGGCCGAAAATTCCCAAAATGTCTGTTTTTACTCGCCTTTACGGACCCCGGAGTGTATATGTGAAAGCCCCATAACGAGTCCAACCCCACACCAAAAGCATAACGAAAAATACATTACATTCATCTAAATGGTTATAAGATTCGTTAGATCCCCTCATCTCCATCTCTCCTATCTTATTTTTCTCTCTATCTCCCCCACTCTCTCTCTCTCTCTCTCTCTCTTTCTCCCTTCCAATTTATATATTTATTCACATTTTTGTTTACTGTAACTCAATTTCTTAATGTTCTTCCCTTTTTGTTCCATTATAGTCCTATACTTTCCCCTCTCTACCTATAAATCTCTATTCGAGGTGGATCAATAATTCTCGGGCAGGAGGTGGGGGCGCAAGTGTGGCAATTCTTTGACAGGCAATACAACAAGGACCAAACATTAATCAGGCCTCTTCTTCCCTCTTTTTCGAACTCTATTTTGGGACTGAGGGCATGTTTGAAGTCCATTTGAAGTCTGGTGGTGTGACTGAAGTTTGAAGAGAGGGAAATTCGTATGTTGTTCAATATACATATATATTATATTTGGTGACCTAGCTGTTGCAGTATCTATTGTGATGAATGTTAGATTGGTGTGACACTGAAGTGTGAAGAACAGTATATTTGCTTCAAAATGAAATCATGGTAAATTATATTATTATCAATATGTACCAATCACCTTTAAAAAAATGAGTATAGCTAGAATGTAGTAGAATGTATGAATTCAATGTAAAAAAAAATGCATGGCATTATGTAGGTTAACCATGTTAACGGTTAAAGAGTATAAAGAAAATAAATAATGGAAATAATTCCTGTAGGTTACCAACAAGTGGCTGACAAAACGTCTGGTGAAGGATCTGTGTTTCTAAGTAACGATACAGTCACAAACCTTGGACAAGCACGTTACCGGACGGAACTTGCGCTCACCGGGAAGCATTTACTCTCACCCGGCTTTGTGGCTGCCGCCTGCCGCCTTCCACAGACCTACACGGAAGCAGATTATATGGAATTCATGGAAGCCTGGGGAACGGTAAAAATACACCCCTAAATAGATCTCATCAGCATTAATGATGTCCTTTCTGACGCCCCGCAATTATTACAACTATATTTGTTTTCCGTGCAGTATCTATCATATTTTTCGGAATGGTATGTGGAATGTTACATGTTAGGCAAAAGGGGAGAATTTCGAATTCGCGAACCCCAGCCCACATGCCATTATTTCTCATTTCACTCTGTATATTTTTACATATTACTTCGAATTTATTATTCTTAAATGTGTTCATGGTCAAAGGAATAAATGAATATTGGATAAATCATATAATATCTTCCGGAAAAGGCCATTTATGAATATAAATATTATTATCATCATGAGTATTACCATTAGTAATATAATTAGTATTAAGTAGTAGTAGTAGTAGTAGTAGTAGAAGTTGTTATATCAGGAGTAAGTAAATATACGAATAAATTAATTATTAGGCCTATACTAATTATAATACTACTAATAATATTAATAGTAATACTAATTAATAACAATAAAAACAAAAATAACAACCTTACTATTATTTTATATTCAATAGCATGCTATCGTACAGGCTGATCTGGGAATTAGGGAAGGTGAAAACTTGGAAGAAAAACGATCAACCTTCGTCAATTATGCAGCTCAAAATGTAAGAACGTTCACCAGATATGCATTTATGTGTGCGTGTGGGTAAGTACGTGTGTGTATGCGTGTATGTGTATGTGTGAGTGGTAATGGGTAATTCCATGACAATGTCTTTAAATTATGTTGTGTCTTGAACATTCTGCTTACGCGTCAGCCAAACACACCTGCTTCGAACTATATCGATCGATAGTGGGGTTTTCGCAATTTTTTTTTGACCCAAAAAGGCTAATATTCTGACCCAAAAATCGAATCCTTCAGTTGTAATGCCAACCATGGCTAATCCCATATCTAGCAATTTTTCCATGAACAACACAACTGCAGGTTTTAATTATTAAAAGAGATAATCAAATTTGGTTAGGATTAAGGGGAATTTTACATTAACATTCAAACAGTGCAAACAAAAGAATTCGAGGATCCACAGCGAAATTAATACGTTACTTGATTCCCCACCCCCCCCCCCCAACATGTTGTAGACAGACCACCACAGGGTACGCTCCACATCAATACGGGCATCTTTTTTTTTTTAAAGATTAAAAGTAAAATTCAAAACCTGAGGCCAAAACATTAAACAAGTGAAGGATGGATGAAGTGTCTAGCGTGTTGGAATGTTGTCAATGACCCGTCGATATTTTGCATCTGAAACTGCACTCTCTTCCTTTTTAAAGATAGTAGATAACGGAAATGGCATGAATTAATACAGCTATATTACTCTTTTGTCACCTTTAATAGCAGTATGTCAGAATGTCTCTACTGCAGCCAGTTTGTAAAGTTAGGAGGAGAAGGAAGAGAAAAGATGACATTTTTTGATCAAGGAGAAAGTCGTCTCAAGGACATGTCCTTTAGAAATCGTCTCCGGATTACGTAATGCGTTATTTTCTTGTTGATTTTTGGGAAGTAGTTGCGATCGTGATAAAAATTGACAATCCCTCAGTGCACAAACCGCTTTTGATTTTCTCCCCTAAATGCAATTTGATCTGATTGGGTTACATTATTGTAAAATGTCCAACGTTACCAGATTTGAGTGCCAGCCTACGTGCCTGACATAGCAAAGCCTTTATATTCATAGTCTAAATAAACGCTATTTTGGGGGGTATTTGACCCGATTTGAAAAATATGTTGGAAACGTAAGACAACCATGCTCGAGCTATATCTCTCTTGCAGGTAAGGTTAAAGGTCAGGCCCTAGAAAATGCTTGAGCATTTATGAGGGTATTTATCAAATGTGATATCATACTGGCTAAAAGTGGTGTAGCCTGCAGGACTCAGTCACGGGGGGATGGGGGACTAGTCTTTAGTCTCCTAGGTCAGCGTTTTTAAACTTTTTTTTAAAGTCACGGCATCCTTTTAATAGTTAAAAAGTTATCTGTTACCCCCCAATTGTGGTTTAAAGTTCATTTCGATATCAAGTGGGATGAATAAGGTAATATTCGGGCGGCATGCTTCCTAAATCATGCCGATATTTGTAAGCGAGCAGCCCGAATACTGTCATATAGTAATATAGGAATATTCTTGGAGCTCGCTGCCTGAAACTATCCCTTTTCTAAATCTGCGACACTTTTTCAGCACTGGAATTTAATTTCTGATCAAAATACCCAAAGAGATAGTTAGTTGGGCCTCTTGCAGTTTCTGATACTTTGTGTTTTTTTTAATGTAGTTGACGTTATTTCAAATTATAGCGTCCATTTAACTAAAATACTCTAACGGCAACCCGGTTAAAAAACGTTATATTAGATGGACAAAATATGGGGGTATAAACATGAAAATTATAATCATCACAGAGGGAGGAAGAACAAAACTCACCTCAGAGCTCTATCGCCTAAAGTTGTTTGGGTTCTATAATGATGAAGTGTATACACACTGTCTGAAAACATATCTTTTTGAATTGGCATGTAATTAATTAATTAATCTTTTTCTTCTCCGTGTTTTATCCTACCCAGTTTAATTAATACCCTTGCGTAAATGCAATGAGATTTTCATTTTTTTGCACTAGAACGCCTTGACCATTTGAATTTTAACAAAATTATTTTTATCATCGTCATTTTCATTACAATTATTTTTATCATTATTATTATGTTTTACCATTGTTATTATTATTACCATTATTATTATTATCATTATTATTATCATCATTATAATTGTACAGGTTGAAGGAAGCATCTCAGCTTCAGGAGCCTATGGTGGCTTCAGTGCTTCCTTATCGGTTGATATGGAATCATTCAATAGCGCAATGGACAGTGAAACCAAGTTCGGCAGCAGTTCTTCAAAGTACAGAATCGGAACCGATGAATTAAACGGTAGGGTATTTAATTACACTGTGGCCGTAGTCGATCACATTCTAGTTCCTAAACATGCTGGCCCGAATTCACAAAGGAGGTTATTATAATTATCCTTGCTTATATAGCGCCTAACACTTAGTTTATCAGTAGTCTCTAAGCGCTTACAATAATGCAGCATAATTACCCTGGCTTTAGCAGTGCAGCTGTTACGCGCGCTGCGTTTCAAGGAATAAATTTCTACCAGGTACCCATTTACTTCACCTGGGTGGAGTGTGGCAAATGTAGCTTGCCAAAAGGACATTAGTGCGGCGTCTCGACTCGAACCGCGGACCTTGTGATCGACAGTCCGGCGACGTATCCACTCGACCACAACACCTCTACCTCTATTTAACTACACTGTGGACGTAGTCGATCACATTCTAGTTCATAAACATGCTATGTCCACATTATGAAAAGTAATTCAATATAGCATTATTGCATATTTCACAATCAACTTGTACGATTACTAAAATGGCACAGTCACATCACATTAGTTCTTAAAACACTCCTTCGGCTTCATATGAGTGAACGCATTGTTTTTAAAATTATTTTGCTTTTATTTTGGATTTTTCCAAGACTCTGCTCAACAGTAAAACATGACTTTGATAATAATCACGTTCAGTCTAAAACCTCGACGTTTCCCAAACTCTGGATGACTCGTTCTTCCCATGGACCTATTACGGATGGACATTCATCGTTTTCTTAACGAATTCATTGTGATTGACTCCGTCAATGTCGTCTCAATAACATTCCGTTCATGTTTCTTTCCTTTGGTCTCATCATGGTCGCCGGCAAAAAAGCCGGGACAGAATCAAGATAGTGATTTTACACATGTTAATATACATGCGCAGAAGATAATTACTCGCCTAAATCATCGAAAATAGATGTGCAGTTCTGGCTCATAATCGGAAATGTTTGTTCCGTGTACTGAACATGTATTTTTTTTTTTTTTGACAAACATGTTGAAATTACCAGATAGAGGTTATTTTTGGATTAATGGTTGTGATTTAAAATCCCGTTTCCCCCTATTTCCTCATAATACGCATAGGGCTCTTACAGATCATGGCCTTCTAAATGATTTAAAAGGTCATTGGTGTGTGCGAAAGTTTGCGAATCAGTAATAATACATTTCATATCACCAAAATCGTCTGCTTTTCAATTTTGCTGCTCCCCATTGAGGATGCTTTTATTTAAGACACACTCTGACAGAGCACATCATCCAAACAAAACCCAAGAGAGGAAAACTGCTCCTTTGTCAACATGCTAACGCAGTCGTTATTGTTAAAACAGCTGAATGTTCTCATTAAGATGCACATAATCAGAATCCATCCGTATTAAGTCCATGTTCTTCCTAAGCTAAATGCAAAGTTGGGAGGGGTGATTAGGCTTTTAACTACTATATAATTATTGATATCTAAATAGTCAATTTAAGACATTCAAATTCAAAAGGCACATTATTCCTAAAAAGTGATTAAACATGTTAGCTTAATATACAGTAGTATTTCAGAGCAATTCTAAATTATAAAATTGATAATAAACTGTAGGTAAAATTGGCCAATCGTTGTTTTCTCAAACTGAACTATGTAGATGCAGCATGTTTTGGGCCGAACTCATATACACTGTCGCTCATATAGGTGGAATATTTTTGTTTAACCCAAATTTATAGAATTATTTAAAAAATAATTTACCCCGGTCCCCAACACAAACAAATCCTCTGGATGGCCATGCATTATGGCTCAAGGCATAGCCATCCAGAGGATTTGTTTATGTTGGGGACTGGGGTAAAATGCAATAAATTATTGGAAAGAATTTTTTTTCTCTAAAAATGGTTTATTGATAAAATTGAACCCCATTTCAGATCAGAACATGGGTTTTAATTCAACTTTTGTCTTATTTCGTCTTCTTTTCTATAGAGCCCATCAGCGTAATACTGATTGCCATGCCAGAGATCTTCGTAAACGACTACTGGACGGGATTAGATGACTATATATCTGAAGGCCACTGCACCGCCTCTTTTGATCGTGAGAGCGTGAAACGAAATATAGACCAGGCTTTATCGAACTACGGCGAATGGCGTGAAATGGAAAGGAGCACAAGTATGAAAAAAGAAATCTTCACTTTTTAATTTGTCTTTTGATAGGGACAGAATTATGAACAATGTTTTTCGGGAAAACGGCGCATGAAAAAAATTGCCAAAAGCAGTAGAATGAAAAGAAAGTCCTTACTTTCAATTTGCTATTTGATAGGTACTAAGTAACTAAAAATATTTAACAGGCTTTACCGACATATCAGGAGTCAAATAACAGACTTGTAGTTATGCTGTTTTATTTGTAATTCAGGTATATTGAAAGAGAATAACTTTTTTAAAAAGCTCGACCTGTTTTTTTTTTCTTGAATAAAGATGTAGTGAATCAGAGTCAAAAGAAAATGTTCAACGCTCATATTTGAGAGATAGGTCTGCCGTCCTAGCCATTAAGGGCGTGCACTTTCTATGTGTCTATTTTTTCTAATTTATTTTAAAAATAAATACAATTTTCGTTTCAAAGCAAAACTTATCTATTTAGTCGTTCAAAGGATTGTAAAAACGGGAAATAGGCAATTTATTAAAGCCTTTACAATGGCCCAGATTTGTCCATATGGCAGACGAGCTACTTTGCACATTGACACTGGTGATCAATGAAAGGTTAAACATAAATTCTCACTCAGAGACGGTGTCCTCCTTGTTTTTTGTTATTAACCATAGTTTTATCTTTATAGGGCAGCACTTTCATTAAAAAACTGCTTCCTACAATGCCCTTGTTGGTATAGATAACAAATTATTTGTGTATACAATAATATTGAAGACAGGAATTACAGAAACAAATTATTGCTTAGTTCTATAAAGATGAACCAAATATTGAATTTAACGCAAAGAGTAATTTATTAAAAAGAAGGCGAATTCAAAGACTTTCGTTGAAAACTACAAAACAGCGAAATTGAAGAAGAAAAAAATCACGAGTAGCAACACATTTCAGAATGTGATCATGTCTCAACTTGTCGTTTTATCGGTTAGATCCAGCCATCCAAATACCTCTAACATGGCCGGATGGGGTCTACGGTCTTCCCAAGCCCTACAACGGTTGCCCTACTACTGATTGGGACGAGGGATCTCGCATTCAATTTTATGTCGCAGATGATGAACGAGAAAACAAATGGAGCAACGTAAATCTGTTTGCGGGTTATAACTACGAAACGTTTTATTCAAGACAAGAGTTTTGCATAAAGACCGTATCTACCATTCCTGGTTCTAGATGGCAATGGCAACCTGGATCTTATTGCATCTACCAATTTGGTTCGACATGCCCACAAGGTATGTATTAGTTTAATAGTTATACTGGACCACACGGACCAAATCCATAATAAAGCCTTGTTAAGATATGCAGTGGCAATGTTGGCGAAGCGCGTTTCTGTTTCTGTTATTACTTAAATCTTTTTTTTTTTACAAAAATGTTGTATAGTGTATATAATTTATACGGTACACATTTTTTTTAATATATATAATAGATAGGTTTACGCGTAAGACCTTTATAGCGCGCAATTGCCATTTTTTAAATAAAAAGAACCGCTCCGAGTTCTTTTTCGCTTGTTGCCAACGTCATATATGAACGAGCCTTAACCTAACACCGTGCTATTTACAGTTAGAGGTCAAAGACGGTGTATTTATTGGTCCACATGGCAATTTTTCTTCTTTTTTCCTTTAAAAAGTTATAGGTCTAATTTCGCTATTTAATTCCTAAATTCGGAAGAAGAAACCGGTCTAATCCCGGTACCCTAAGCTTGTAGACCTACATGTTTTTTTTTTGTGATCTAGAGGCTGTTATTTATATTTCAGTTTCTATTTTTGTACGACAGTAGTTACTCGTATCATTTGTGGCTAATAATTCTCAGTAAGCTGTTTTATTTATACTTAGACACGGGGAATAAAATAATGTGCTTAATTATAATTTCTTTTCTGGAACGCACTGAATAGCAGCCTGCCCTGTAGGTTAGCTGATGAAATGTTTATATATGGGTGTGTGTTTGTCCCATTTATCCCTCAATGGTGCAAGTCTCGGAATTTCAGGGGGCTATATGGATATTTACAATCTTTCTCATGTGTTTTCATTTTTGTCCGGCCTCTTCCTTAGGCTTCACATCTAGTAGCATAGATTGGGGCTACCCAAATAATGACGACACATTTGACGTACATGAGGGCATTCCGCCTTCCGGGACGGACACTAAAATCAACTTTTGCTGCCGGAATGATAACGTTGTTTCACAGAAAATACACCTCCCCGTTGATACCAACTTCATGCTTTTATCACGCTTTGGTAAATGTCAAATGGTGAGTAGATGACCGTCAATGTCCAACAAAGATACTTTTTCTCTTCACACTGATATCCATTTATTTTAGCAGGGGGCATGCCCCCACCCGACATAATTTCATCCACGAACAAAAATTGGGAGTGACTTTTCAATCACTTATTATATTCCTTCTACTGTACAAACCCTCTAACATGCAAACAATCCTGAAACAATTCTCAAACCACAAATTTATTTATGGTCTTCTTTGAAGGCATAACTGTGCGACACCTTCTAACAGTAAATTCTCCAAACCTTTTTTGAATTTTCATAACCGTTTGTCCATGAAAATATTAAGACAGGCTTTTAAAAATCTTTCAACACTTAAATATCTGGAATGGCATTTAGAGCGAATTCATTGCTTTGTGACGATTTGCATCTACCTAAAATGTAATTAAATTATAATAATATAGTTGGGAGAATAAAGGAATCTATCATATTAGTTTTTCTTCTTTTTTTATCTTTAATAATGATCCGTTTTCACTCAACTTTCAGATTATCTTTGATTGTACATTTAGGATTGAAGTCACTACCTTAGCACCATTTTATCTCATCTGAACAATGTTACTTAGTCCCTTTAAGCCTAAAATAGCAGATATGAACGCCAGTATCATGCTTGAATATTATCTGAAAACGTAGAAATAATTAGCTCATGTTGTATAACCATTCAACCTGACCTAAAACTTAATCCAAAAAAAATCAGGCCAACAAATCTGTTGAATTGCTTTGCTTTAAAGACCGTCACCACTACTGGGCTAGAAGGGATTAGACCACACAGAGAGCCATCGAGGTCACTGTGACAGGTGGCTATCTCATTAACTCAGCTCTCATTTAACATAAGAAAAAGAGGATCATGGGGGACCAACAGGCACCGATTGGGGAAGTTTTCTATATAGAGGGAGCAAGTAGCTACAAGTATGACAGTGTGCCTTTAAGGAGGCGTGATGGCTCAGTGGTAGAGCAGAGATCTTGTACTCGGGAGGTCCCAGTTTCAAAACCAAGTCGAAGAATTAGTGCCCTTTGTTACAGCATTAATCCTCATTTGTAAATCCCAAGGAGAGGAAATAAAGCAGTAGGTATTGTACACTATAGCCGGTCAGCAATTCAAGTGCAACATTACTTATCGGTTTCATTGTAGCGATATAGAGCTATACTGATGCGATGGCCTTGTTGCAAAGGTTTTGGGCTTTAGAGTGTTGTTGCTGCCCGTCAATTAGTCTGAAATCGGGACATCATTTATCAATTTTAGATAATTTATGGCAGAGTTACTTTATTCCTCCATATTTCCGTTGAAATACAAATATGTCATTCAGAAATTTCTGATTTCGTGTCGACGTATCCATTTTATTCTTTTAATCTGTTGAACGAAGTCTTTTATCAGTTTATATCAACTTCCTTATGTAATTACTTTGTAGACATCTCGTAACTTGATTTGTATATTGTTAACTTCTAGGTGCCTATTTATTATGTTTTCTCTTAATATGAAAGTTTAACAAATGCAATACATGTAGTATTATGTAAACTTGTGTACAATCTTCCTTACCGTTCACTATGCTTTGTTTTATATTGCTTACTCCTTCCTTTATAAATTTAATTCATGAATCGTTATTAATTTTATTACATAAGTTGCCGTTGATGATTTTTACAAATTGATGTAAAGCGCTTAGAAACATTAATAATAAGTGCTATACGAAAATATACTATCTTTTGCTAAAGGTTCATGGTATGTCGGTGAAGAAGGAATCGATCTACTGGCCGACTGACGGCAAGTCCCAACAATCTGGAGATAATCCCTTCAACGGTGTGTATAACCAGGGCGTGCGACTGACCTACTGCTACTACTACCATAGTGACTCAGATATCCAATTCTCACCTCAAGCACAAAAGGATCGATTTATATCTGAGCAATCGCGATTTTTTGATATTTTTTTTGAGTATGCTAATGGCAGTTAATTAATTAACCTAATTTACTTTAGTTAAGTTTTGTTTTGGTTTATTTTGCTTTTTTCTGTTTTGTTTTAGTTTAGGTTTAGCATGATTGGAGCTACTTTCGAAAAATCAATTCAAGAGCAATTATAATACCCTATTGTTTATCCCATAAAAAAAACTTTTTCTGATTACTCAATCCGTCTTTGTCATCTTTGCACATGTCAATAGGTGAAGCAAAAGAATATTTAAATTGCTTTAGGTTTAATCGACAGTAGTGGCGAACGTGTTATTTATTTTGTTAAACTTCGACACAATCTTAAAGAGAAGGTTGAGTTCTGGGAAGAGGTGACAAATAATTTGTGAGCGTTATCAATGTTATTACGCAAGTGTGGAAGGACATCATATCAAACATGTTCCCTGAAAAGCACGGCTCCCTAAATGCCTTCATATTCTAAATGTGTCATGTAACATCGTAAAAATCCAGGGTAGGATTTTTACGCCACTTGTTCGTGTAGTACCATATACATCTTTCTGTCTACATTGTTTGTAATTTTACCAAGACTTGGCCTAATTTATTATCATTTTGATGATTCCAGAACCTTGCAATACACACAAATGCTTATATGCTAGATGATCAACCTGATCAATTCCACACCGTTCCTTTCACAATGTAATCGCATGACCAGAACTCAACTTCATCTTTAAACAAAAAAGGAGTTGGTGAATATTTTTAAAACGTTTTTTGAAAGTTTCCACAGTGAGTGTTAATGAACTAAAGATGACTAATTAAGCATTACAGTTGATAATATTAATTAGTTAAAAATTAGTTCATTGTGTCATAACATTTATTTATACACTTTTTTTCCAATTTAACATGCATAATATAAAGGAAAAAACACATGAAATGATCTTGACTTGCTCCTGGTCAATATATTGGAAACTCGTTAAGCTACCTTTACTAAAATGTAATAATTATCTTACTACTTGGCATGAATTGTATATTACGGATCCAGGAGTTCAGTTTAAAATTATCTTTATTGCATATTTAATTGAAAATATATTTTTCCTTTTTTAAATTGTTGTTATTGATTCCAATATTTTTCTTGACGATTCTGAACAAAAATCTATAGGTCCAGTTTATCATCTAATTATTCAGTTTTAAAGTCGTTCATTACTTTGTTGATTTATTCTTGAATAATTGCACACAAGTTTGCTGACTTGAATTTAAAACTGTAATTTGAAATTTTCTTCAATTTCTATAACTTCAATGTTTGCAAACTTGAATTTAAACTGTAATTTGAAATTTTCTTCAATTTGTATTACTTCATTGTTATACTTACGCCATTTGAATATGTTCTATTACTTTTCAAAACATATTTTCAAGTGTTTCTATTAACAATTTTGCAGAGATATAATGAAAATTGCTCGTCTATTTTGCAATAATGAAAGTGAATGGTTATGGTGGATTCGTTTTAAAATCGGTATATTAGTTTCAATAAATGCATACGTTAAATGGGTAAGTGTCATGCATTTTGTAGGGTACTTTTACTTCAAAGAAGTATTTGTTTATTCAGCCCCACATTTCGGGCTAACAAAGAATTGTTCACAGTCTGTAATAATGATTTCCATCGATCTCCAGATATTTCTTCATTCATCCTGTTTGCAGATGACTCAAACATTTTCCTGAGTAATCAAGACTCTACTGAGTTGATAACTACGTTAAATAATAAATTGAAAAAACGCACACTGGATTAAAGAAAATAAGCTTTCATTGAATGTCAACAAAAAAAAATCATATTTTTCAGTAATTTGTTACCCTCCCTTCCTGGTGACATACTCCTTGATAATGTAAAAATATTGGAAGTGTCTTCTACACGATTCCTAGGCCTTATTATTGTCTATAAACTTTCTTGGACGATTTATAATGAGAATTTGAGAAAACTGATTTCTAGAAATATTGGAATAATCAATTGAAATTAAATATTATTTTCCTTCGAACAATCTGAAAATGCTTTACTCTGCACTTGTACTCCCTTATCTAAATTATGGAATTATTGCATGGGGAAACTCCTCAAAAACACAAATTGACATAATTGTTTTATTGCAAAAAAAAAGGCAATTCGAATTATAAACAACGCTGGATTCTTTGCTCATACTGACAAACTATTTTATGAAAATAATATTGTGAAATTTTTTGATTTATTTTTACTACACCTTGGTTAATTTATGTTTCAACGGGATACAAATGATTTGCCACAAATTTTTAGTACTATGTTTTTCCAAAAATGAACAATATCTTACATATCATATCAGACAGTCAAACCACTAACATTTACCGCGTATAAGAACAGTATCAGCAGCTAATACCTTTATGTATAATGTACCCATATTTCAGACTTCACTTGAAAAAGTTTCTTTTAGAACAATATCAAGTGAGTTAATGTTAATGCTGAGTTTGTAAATTTCAAATTTCAATAGGTTGCGTATTACCCTTTTGTTGAAATGTACTTTCTCTCGTCCTCGTTTTTCTTCTTCTTTTATATTTATTTATATGTTTTTTTATTAATTATTTTCCCCTTCTTCTTCCTTGTGTGTTATATTCCCTTCCCTTTTCCCTCTCTGCTCTAGCACTAAACTCGTTATTCCCCCCCCCCCCACTTCTGTTTTCGATTGTTTAATATAAGTTCACTTTTTCCTAAAAGGGGAATTAGAAATTTTCTTCCATTCGTATTACTTCATTGTTATACTTACTCCATTTGAAAATTGTTCTATTACTTTTTTGAACACATTTGTGTGTTTCACACAACTTTACACATACGAATTTAAAATAGCAGTTGCTTGTCTAATTTCAGATATTTTTGTGAATGGTGGTGGTTAATTCGTTCGAAAATCATTATAATATTTCTTTCATTAAAAGCAAATGGTAAAAAGGGTACTAATTATGCAGTAACATAGTTTCATTTTTTTTCGTACTCTAACCCCCTAAAGATTTTAGTGTATTTAGCCCCAAACCCTGGGGTAACATTGCATATGTAATAAAGCAATGTAGTGTGTGTGTGTGTGTGTGTGTGTGTGTGAGAGAGAGAGAGAGAGAGAGAGAGGCAGACGGAGACAGAGACACATAGAGAAAGGGAGAGAGGGGAGACATACAGACAGAGAGACAGAGAGATAGAGAGGGGCTGTCAGATAGAGGCAGAGACACAGCGAGATACAGACTGAGAAAGAGACATAGGGAGAGAGAGAGAGAGGAAGACTAAGGCACAGAACGGTCGAGAGGGAAAGATTGTCCATAAATGTGCATATTTCAAATGTCATTTAGTAATTAGAATATAAAATATACAAATAATAAATTCTGCAGCCCTTAACTGACGATTGCCAAAAGTATGATGCTTTAAGGTAAAGACCAGTATTGGAAACGCCCCAATTTCAAAAAAATGAAATGGAAGCTCTTATTACCAATCATGTGAAAGAATATGTGTTGACTAATAGATGATGATAAAAAATTTGTCGGGAAACTACCTACTAATTGATATATTTGGTAAATTAGTTTATCTATTGGTGTGTGTGAGATAAACGCACGTATTGCGCACGTGTGCGTAGTCCCATATACATCTTTCTGTGTACAGTGCATGTAACTTTACGAAGACTGGGCCAAATTTCGTATCATTTTGATGATTCCAGAACCTTGCAGTACACACCAATACTTATATGCTAGATGATCAGCCTTTTCTTATCGATTCCACAACGTTTCTTTCACAATGCAAGCGCATGACATTAATTGGTTTTTATCTTTAATCAATATTGAAATCATCTTTGATAATGTAAAAGGTACGGATATATACCCATGTCTATTAAAACACAATTCTATATTTTCGCCTCGAGATTTCCCTTTGTAGTTGCCCTTTTTTCAGAAAGTGCCCCTTTTTGTAAGGCGCCCCCCCCCCCCCCCCCCACTTTAGAAGTCGTTCGGCCGCCCCTGCCTCATTGGTTGTCCCAACATTTGAGGAATAGGGATTTTTCATATGCGGGTCTATTACTTTGGAACAAACTGCCTCAATCTATTCGTAATCTGTCATCTGGCAATGAATTTCAAAAAACGAACTCAAGACATACTTGTTCAATTTCGCATACTGTAAAGTTGTCGCATACTGCTAAGTATTAAGTGTTGTGTATCGTATGATTTCATGTTTAATGTTTGTACTCATGTTCATGTCCATGTGACTATTTCTACTCTATTTTCTACTGCGTCATGAGCATCATTATTGTGATTGATACAGGTGCATTATAAGTGTTCATGTTATCATTATTAAAAGTCTGTTTATTAAATTCAAATCAAAACTACGATATTGTATTGCAATTAGGCAGAGTTTTTTATTGACGAAACACAACGAAATTATTTAAGAAATGTTAAGGTTATAACCATTCATTTAATTACTGTTGCATTTTTGTCCTTTATATTATGTTAAAAATGTAAATTTAAAAGAAATATATTTGATGATCAGTATGTTATATCAGACACCTAGGTAGGAGGATAAGAAAAACTAAATCTTGCCATACTGCCCTTTTAAATTCGACACAATGTAACTCTGTAATTATGAATGTACTAAACTTTGGAATGCTCTTGAATCTCTTCAAAAAAAAACGTACACTCGAAAAAAATGCCTTTCAATCTGAGTTTAAACAAACCTTTATACCTATCCACTAGCTTCATACTTCCATTTTTCTTCCATCGTTGACAATATATTTTCCCCCTATGTTTCTTCATTTATTTCGATAATGTTGCAATGTGTAAAGCCAATGATTCTCGTTTCGTTTTGTCCTTTGAGTGTACATTCAAACCTGCTTGAGTGACCCTTGAAAGTAGTTTCTCATTGAAACATGTACATGTACTATTGGCACCTGTACATAGAGACCACCTGCCTATAAAGACTACTTTTCTTGTCTCCCTAGGGTGGTCTTTATAAACAGGTTTCGCTGTATATTGTATTTGCTGTTTTCATTACTAAGATTGTAAGTGGAACCGCTGAGTTTTATTGCAAGCCACTGGCTTTTTTATGTGATTTCCCCGTCAAAGTTTCATTATACATTATATCTTCGTATTTTATAGATTTAATAAAATAACATTGAGAAACTTTGCAACACGTTGAAACGTTAAGTGCTTTTTCGACCAAAAATGGCATTGGTCTTTTACTTTTCGACGAAAAATCAAACAAAGTTACTCCATGGCACGTACCCTTAGTTAAACTAGAATACTGATTTTGAACGATTTAACAATAACCATCCACAAAGATTGTTTGATGTTAGACAAAAGGAAAAGTTGTTTTAAACACTACAGAATATTTTTAGAAAAGTAATAGAACAATTTCCGAATGGAATAAATATAACTCTCTCTCTCTAAGTGC